CCCGCCCCAGAGACAGCCGGCAGGCAGCAGGAGGGTTTAGGTGGTTGTTTTTTTTAAAGTGATACAAAACTCCCGAATTAAATCCTAAAAATCCCTCCGAGTCCCCGAACTCTGAACAACAATGTATCGTATGTGTATCTCTATCAATGTAAACTGACACGGGGTCCGGCAGTTTCCGTTTTGCGATAGAGGAAATAACTGTACGGACACGGATGCCATATCGGTAACATCCGTACACGGATCCTCTCCTGATGATGCATCGCTTGTGAAAGGGGCCTAAAACATCCCTCCGAGTCCCCGAACTCTGAGCAACAATGTATCTTATTTGTGGGGGGGGGGAGCTTGGAGCGGTGACTACAACACACACACACACACAGGGAGCATGGGGAACAGACGTAGCCCCCCCTCCAGAAGGAAGGACAGTGTCAGAGATGATTGGAGGATCTCCAGCCGAGTGACACACAAATAAGATACATTGTAGCTCAGAGTTCGGGGATTTTTAGGATTTATCTCCGGAGTTTGGTCCTGGCCAGCCGAGTACGCGGTTCGCTTCATTGCGCCACGCATCATCCAGACCTGCTACCATGCACCCCTGGAGCTGTCCACTCCTTGCAGAAGGCTCCTTTCCAGGGACTGGACTCCCAGACGCCAGCTGCTGCCCGACAGGGGATCTTCAGACACACCAGCCGTCTTCCTAACTGTGAGTCTATTGTCCTTGCATACAGCTAGCTGCCATAAGATACCAGCACTCCCAAAAGGGTAGTAGCGCTCCCCAAGTTTGTTTTTGAGTATTGCTGTGTTTTTGATACAGGGTCCCTCTCCCTGTGTGGACACCCACCACCCCAGTCCACACTTCTTTAACATAGTGACCATCGATTAGTAGTGCGCTTATCCATTGTTTGAGTTCTTCGGAGTTTGGTGTCACTTTAGGGAGAACTCATAAACCTAACATTACAAATTTGAATTGCTCCGTCATTTCCCGTTCAGGCCGGAGTGGAGGGGAACAGGTTAATAGG